CTATCTTGCAATCTTTTCCTGTTTAATAATATTCAGATTCTGCTTCTCAACCTATTGATCTTCATGGTCTTTTAAACTCGATGATGCTTCAAGTTTTCAGTACCATAATGGCCAAATCTTCCCAGGCTTCAACACAAAGTTTAACATCTTCAAAGGCAGTCTGCAAACAACTGAATTCATCAGCTATAAAAGAGCTCGTAATAAGAACGCAAATGAGCTTACTAATGATTCAAAAGAACAATAGCCAAAGCAATCTAGTGCCGTGAGATAGAAAAAGACACAAAACTCATCCAGTGCCCATGATTTGAAGGTAAAATAAATAAATCCCTCAAAAACACACCAAATGACCGAACAGCGAGATATATCTAATAAAGGGTCAACTAAATTCAATCAAGAAAAAAACGTACCACATGCTCCCTCGATACTTAAGAGTGTACGGACCACTCTCCAACGCTCTATCAAAGTGGCTATGTATTTTGTGCTTCCCCTTTCCGCTCTGATCAAGTAGCGTGAGCTCAAACAGTGCCCTCACATCCGTTCCTTCACTGGCCAACGCAATGAAAACTGAAACATAGAGTGAATTGTCCTCCGGATTCTTCCCGTCAGGATAGAAGTAGACCGCCCACTGGTATCCCCCCACCGTGAACATATCGCTCGTCATGTATTTCCCCGGTCCCATTCCCTTCGCCAAGGAGTACCCTTTTATTGTATACTGATGCGAGCTGTTCACCGTCTCAAACAAGGACTTGGATCGCGAGATGTTGTCCCCTAAAACTCCTCCAGGCTCGCCACCTGTCTTCTCCATCTCATCCGCTATGGCCACTTCGAAAAAATTAGCTCAAAACCCCCGAGATTGCCGTATTCTTTAGCAAGATAACTCTAAGCACGCCAAATCTAGTCCGATTAAGTGATCACGTCCTCCCGAGGACTGACGCTGCAAAATCGAGAGGCGACACAGTATCGTAAGAAGACCGCAATAACTGTGTAAGTAGTAGCAGAGAGCCTCTTCCCCAACCAAATCCTAGCCCAAGAAAGTCAGGCATCTCTGCTTCACCCAAACGACAAATATGAAAAATCACCGAGTCCTAACCCTAGCACCGATCCTTCTTACCATGCAATCCGGTGATTTCAAGAGTTCTCGTGATCGCGTTCTGCAATAAACTAAAGGAGACTGAATACACCAAGCCGCCGGCGGAGGAGACGACCACAGCGGATGGAGAAGATGAAGAAATGAGGAAAGCTGGGGAGGACGCAAGAAAAAACGAACGCTGCAGAAGTTAATCAATTATCAACTTGTGGTTGGTGGGAATTTATAGAGCATGGGCTGAACAGTGTCAGTACGATGAACCGGGCCACCGGTTCATGATGTGCGGCCGCGGCTTTGCCGCCGACACGCCGTTCCGGGTCAAGCAAGGTTCTGTTCTTCAGAATACGCGAGAATTGGGGGTATAAGTGGAACTTTTATTTTGTCCGGTCACTCAACATTGGCAAAATAAGGAGAGCAACATCGCTACAATAGAGTGATCGGGGCCTTTATTTATTTATTTATTTTAATAGTTATGCATGTAAGCCACTAGGGGTGAAAGTGAGCTAAGTCGGCTCGTAAGCCTGCTCAAGCTGATTCCTTAAAAACCTCACGTAGCTTATCGAGCCACGAGTTTGAGCTCGAATCTATACTTGAGCTCGTGCATTAAATAAGCTTAAGCTAAAGCTTAGCCTAACTTGGCTTGAAAGCTAGTTGAACCTCTCTATTAATTTAAAATATATGTAAAAATTAATTTAAGTTATTATTATATAATATATTTTAATATTTTTAAATTAAATCACCCCTATAAGCCACCCTGTTTACTCTTTTTATTTAGTTGTTTATACATGATAACAAGCAACAAATAATGATGAAAATACCATACAAAAAGCTTTCAACATATGCTGCCACTATATGTATTTTCCTCATCAATGTCGTCTCACCCAAAATAGCATGTTAATCAAACCCAGGAATTATGATGTTTAAGATTTTATTTGGGATAATTTTTTATTATTTTTTAAAATATAGTACAAAAAATATCTGAACCAAAATTTTTGTACTAAAAATGTTTTAGAAAACAATAAAAAAATTATCCCAAATGAAGCATAAGTTCCAAAAATACTTTTTCAAAAAATGTTAAAGGCCAAATTTTGAATCAAGTTATAAAAAAGCTATCAGTCAAACACACCATTTTTTCATTACTGATTTTCCTACCACAAAATAGCCAAAAAGCCATCTCAAACCGAGCCTAAGGCTTCGCTTCGAATGACTTTCTTACTGCTTTGTAAATCTGTTTTTTAGTACAAAAAATCTCTTAAAAACAACAAAAATAATGATCTAAAACTATCACAAACGAAACCTAAGTGAGTGGCAACATCTACAATGATAAATGAGTTAAAATAAATCTCGTATTTAACTTTATTCTTCTCCATTTGCTTATTCGACCAACCAACAGAGTTTTTAGTATAATTTAGTAAGCTTAATCCGATTATCATGATGTCAGAGTTAATCTACCTAATGGTAGCAACTCCTCTCCTAACTTAAGGTGCATGCACATGCACACACACCCACGCACATTCATCATCAGCAGCATGGATCAAAATGGGAGACATCCCTATTCCTTAGAAGCTCAGATTCCTTTTATATAATAATAACAAAACTTATGGGCGTCGAACCCGATCCGATTATACAAACAAGTCAAAAATCTAAACCCGGACCTGACCCAGGTCAACCCGACCTGACACGACACGCTGACTCGAGCTAGCACAGAATAGGCAAACGTTAAACGCGGGCTACGGGGGCGAGCAGGGCTGCACAGGTGCAATCGCGAGTAGGTGACGGAGCAAGCAAAGGTGCGACCGTAAGTGCAAGGCGAGCGCGGGTACGAGTTGCCAGTGCGATGGAGCAAGCGCAGGAGGCGTGAGGCTGGGAGATGCATGGGGTTGCACTTGTGAGAACCCAAAAATACAAAAAAGTGTAAAAATTTTAAATTTTTGTTTGTATTGGAGAGTGACGGCGCTGTGCTCTGGAGCATTGCGGTGCTTTGAGTTATTATTATTATTATTATTATTATTATTATTATTTTGGTATACGACAAAACCCTATAAATATTTTTAATTAAGGTAATATATATATATATATATATATATATGTTCGTCCCTCACTTCCCTACCACTGCCCAGCTTTATGAGAAGGGAACATGAGAGGAGAGGGAGGAGAGAGAAGGGCATTTGGGGCGTTTTTGTCCGTCAATTTTATTCAGATATTTCTTCATATCATCATAAGTCAAATCTCTTTTTAGTTTTTAATGACTTTGTGTTTGATAGATTTTTTCACTTCTAAATCCATAAAATCGTATTTACTCTTAATTTATCGGGTTTTGTAGTGTAACTTTTTACATATGATAGATACGGATTTTATGAACATTTTGATCGTAATATTATTGATTTATATTGCATGAAATGAAAGTTATGATTTTTTGAAGTTATGAAATCATCTATAGGTTTTATTGCATTATATAGATTATTGCAATTCATATTGCATTTCATATAAATGAGTATGGCATTTGCTTAAGCAAGGAATGGTTGGCTATCAATAATATACTTAATGCGGGTTGGCTCTTAAAATGTTAATACTTTGCGTAGGAGGATGGGCCGATGAGTTTTCCTTTAAATATGGTTTGTGATATTATCATGGTTGTAGCCTATATCTGGTGACCAATTTCGTCAATGGGTAGAGAGTGACGACTCTTCATAATAATAGAAAGCCACTTGCAATGAAAATGTTAATGATAATGGTGATGATATGATATAATAATATGAATGAACAAATGAAATGATTAAAACACCACATTAAAATTTGATTTCATGCTTTACTAAATCATATATTGATGCATGCATATATTGATAGTATTGATAGCATTGATAGACATATTAATAACATTGATAATATCGGAAGCATATATAGTATATGAATAAAAGATGTACATGAATAGATAAGATAGACTCAACTGATGATATTGACATTTGTAGGTCATGATTTCTTTACTGACTTATGAATGATTTCCGCACTGCTGCTTTACTGATTCTCATACTTATTATTTATTCATAGATTCAATGAAATGATTTTCTACTTTTATTATTGATCATTTTGAGCTTTCCAAACAATAATTGATCATTGATGAGATAAATTTAATCGACTAAAAGAAGCATGCATATTGATTCATCTAGTCTTTTGGTGAAAGTTTTAGTGAATTTGAGTTACTACTGGGTTGTTTAGCTCATTATATGAATTATAATGATTTCAAGTCAGGGAAGGGGCCAGGATCAATTGGAGTAAGATTGACAGAGATACTCAAATTTTTCTTTTTATTTTATTATTTATTTTCTTTATTCTTTTATAATCATGAGTTATTAATAGATTAGTGATTGTATTGATCTCCTGGTTATTGTGTCTATGATTTTTGGGAGATGCAATATAGTGAAATCTTTTTATGTATATGATTTTAGTTGCTTCCACTTAATATATAGATTTATATTAATGATTTATATAAGCTATGGTTGTTAATTAAGAGATTAAGATAAGTCATTTTTTCAAATCTAATCTTGGGATGTGACAGCACGCGAGTCGGTTTCAGGTTAGCGGGTTGACCTAGGCCCAACCCGATTTTTCATAAGGGTTGGGAATTAGAATCCAAACTAAACCAATTTGTTAAATGGGACTCGAAACTGGATTTTCCAGGTTGGATTTGGCTTGACTTTACGGGTTGTGTCAAAAATTGGCCCCCCTAACAAAACCATCCATCGCGAACGCATAGCCAACAACAGATACAATTGGTCGGGTCAACAAAACCACCTCAAAATTTTGCCCACCCTCAAAATTATAATTTTATTAATTACGAAAGCCTATTTATATAATTTTACCATATAAAACTCTAATTTACCAATATTTGAAAATAAATTAATAAATAAAATACCTTCAACCATAGTCGGGTCGACAGCTATATCCATCTCCTTTGTGATGAGCTTCCATCAACAAGAAAAATGTCGTTGAAACGAGACCAAGAAGCTTCTTTAGCAACTATATTTCAAAACCTATTAAGCACAAAGCCGAAGCAATATGAAAGCGAAGAGGAAAAAGGAAAACTTGCGACCTGCATAGATAGACCAAAGAGAAGGGAAATTATATATAAAAAAAGGTAATGGCAAAGCAGAGTCCATCATTCTCTATTAAACTTTTCTCATTTTTTACTATTTTACAAACCATGATAATAATAATAAATTTTATTAATTAATTATCAATCAATCAAAAACTAACTATGTTTAGAGTTTTGTGCTTTGCTCATTATTAGTTCTGTATGGAATATGATTATGATCAATCAAGTTGTATTGTTGCATCGGATCTCAAGTCAATTTATCATGCTTGCTAGGGGGTGTGAGTGGTCACCCCTGCTTGGGTTCGGGTGATTTGCACATGAAATTTTTTTTCTCATACAACGCCTCGACACTGTAGAGTTTTATGGGAGAAATGATAGAGAGCGAGGTGTCGTAACACTTTAAATTTGGCATCGCAATGCTGTGTAGTGTCGCAACGTTGCTGGTCTTTGTGCCGCAGTATCATGATAATAAAGGCTTTGAGCACCATTGTGTTCCAAACTAATGTCGCAACACTGCGAGTCAAATTGGATAGTTTTCTTTCTTATTTTTATAAAGGGTGGCATCCGTTGTTGTTATTAATTTGTCTTTCTCTTATTTGTTTTATTGCGTAGTTTACTTCTGTTGCATCCTGAAATATTTGGGTAATAGAGAAATATAAGATTATCATCTTAGCTTTCTACGAAGATCCAACACGCATATAGATAAAAGAGTAGGGTGCATAATTCATAAGAGACACCAAGATTGAATAAACTAATATTTGTAGTTGATTACAAACGAGGCCCTTAAGCTCTTCCTTGGGGAGAAGGTCTTGGCTCGAAGTATACATTTGTAAAGAGCATTGTACATAGTTGAAAAATAACAGGACAGTTGTTCTTAATAAAGTGTTGGCATATTCTTGTTCAATATGATCGTTGTCGGCAAACGACGGTGGATGAAAAGACCATGGTTGACGAGTGATGTTGGTCGGAAGGATTATAGTCGACGGGCGACATGGTCGGTGATCGACAGTGGTCAGAAGGACTGTAATCAGCGGGCGATGGTGATCTTAAGGACCGTAATAGAAAGATCGTGGTCAGAAAGACTGTAGTCGGCCAATGGTGGTTAAATAGATCGCAGTCGAGCGATAATGGTTGGAAAAAGTGTAGTCGGTGGGCGACGGTGATTGGAAGGATCGTAGTCGAATGATGTTGATCGGAAGGATTGCAGTGTGACATCCCAGGCGTCTATAGTGAAAGAATTCATCAACAGTCTTGATCAACCATCACTTCTTGCTCCCTTGCTCAGACCTGAAATTGTTAACCACATATAATGAGCTTCAAAAAGCCCAGCAGGTCACCAAAGCCTACAACTGAAATCAAAACACGGTATTGAAACAATATGCATGTCAATCAGTCAATCAATAACAGTCACTTGCACATGATCATTGAATCTATGCAGATACGAAAAACAGAAATCAATGCATAATAGAAATCAATAATTAATGCATAAACAATAGAATCCAAAATCATCAATGATAGAATCAGTGAATAGTAGAAAATCCCATAAAGCTCAATGAACCAGTACGTGAGTCAAATCACTACAGTAGTCGTCTTATCTATAACATCAGTCTAATCAATGTAGTAGAATCGTATCAAAATATACACTTGCAATTTCAGTTATTCAATATCACTTGCTCAATAAATCATATGCAATCCAGTAATCTATATCACGTGTATAATGTCAGTACAGTGAATCAGTAGTAGCAGCGTATGTATCAATATCAGTAACAATCCTGCGACGACATGAACGATTATGCTATAACAGTGAAATCGTGTAGTAACAGTAAATCCATACAGTAACGATAAATCCGCACAATAACGATAAATCCTCAGTAAATAAGTCTGTACTAGTAAATCCATCAAATCAATATCGTATTATAAACATCAATTAATCATATCAATAGAATTAATCAGATAATTAAAAAAAGAAATCAATTCCGGTCAATAGTATCAATCGGTATGAAATCATATAAAACAATCAAATCAATACATCATTAAAAAGAGTTGAAATCAAATCAATAAATCAATAAACCAATCAATGCAGTAAAATCATATCAATACAATAAAATCATATTCTAGATCACGAGCTCGGTAAATCACATGTATCAGGGTATCACATGTATCAATTAGTATTCGGTGTATCACGTGCCATAATATCAGTGCAATGAATCAGTAGTATCGGTGAATCAGTAGTATCGGTATCGGTATCGGTAGTATAAATGAATCAATAGTATCAGTGTCCATAATATCAATGAATCAATGCAATATAGTATCAATGAATTAATGCAATATCAATATCCATATCAGTATCTGTATTCAGTGACATGTACAATATGCAATATCAATGAAATCGTACAGTAACAGTAAACCCGTAAATCTGTCAGTAAATCCATTCATCAATAAATCTATACTCAATCAATAAATCCGTCAATATCAATAAATCAATAAATTCATACATAAATCAATAAATCAGTTCAATATCAATAAATCAGTCGATACAAGAAATCAAGCAATATCGGTAAGTCCATAAGGAAATCATAAGAACAATACTTTACGCATGCATTCAAGTACAGTAGTCTTACTTAACAAGTACAATCACTGGCTATTAAGGCGTTTTTCAATCTTGGAATATCGATGTATCGTTGTATCGTTGTATCCGTTGGCTCAATAAGGCTCGTCACCCTTGCCCGTCGGCATAATAATCTCCTTATAACTCCCAATCGCTGTATCACGTGATCAATAGAGGATAACACCAAACCCCTTTTAAAGGAAAGCCCGTTGGCCCACCATCCTGCACAGGTCGATCTTCAACCAACGGTTCAATCAGTCTTTACTTGTCTTTCAGTAATAATAGTATATTCAATCATATATTCACATTCATATACATCTCATTAATGCATTGAAAACAACAATCACGATTAGCTCAAATGAAGAGAATCCTTAAAATATCGTACAGTCGACAGAAATCTCAAATAGAGACAAAATACACAATATAAGAAAATTACCAAATTACCGGAAATCGGAAAAAACATCATTTCAAAACTTTACTTGTATTGAAGCAATATTTTTCAACATCCAGATAATTTACTATTCGATAAAAATCCTACAGAATTCAAAATACCCGGTGAAAACTTTTTAGAAAATACTCAAATCATGCAAAATCATCATTTCTATAACATACCAAAAGTTACGCGGTAAAAGTTACGTCAATACAAAGATATGCACATTTTTCGGTAATGGAAACATAAAACTGAGCAGAAAAATACCAAAACACGAAATCTTCGAAATCAGAAATAGGATTCGGATTCCTTACTGCGAGATAAACAATTCTTCTAACAGCGGCGTCGGACGAAAATTGCTCCGTGGCCTCCAAAACCAAGCTTTTTCCTTCTCTTTCTCTCTCTTGCTTTCTCTTTCTTCAAAATATCTCAAAAATATCTCAAATCAGATCGTCCCGGACGAATCCTATTCGTCCCAGGACGACTTGCTCTCTGGACAATTTTCGTCCCGACGAATTCAGGTTCGTACGGATGAACTCAGGTTCGTACAGGCAGTTCATATGTACTAACCATACAGATTTTCACAATTTTCTTCAGTTCGTCCTGTACTAAAATCAGTTCGTACGGACTAACAGAACTAAAAAAAATTTGAAAATCTGAGGGGTTTTACATGCAGTCGAGCGACGGTGGTCGAGGATATTGTAGTCGGCAAGCGACATTGGTATCTAGTCAGAAGTTCGGTGACTGCTAGTGGTCGGGTAGAAGTCTAGTGACGACTAGTGGCTGGGTAGAAGTCGAGCAGTGATCAGTGACTGAGCGCAAGTCCGGTGATAGTATGGTGGCAAGAGAATTCTTTGATTTCTCTTAGTCCGGTGACGGTGGCCGGGCAGTGGTCGAGGAGTATGGTGGCAAGAGAAATCTCTGATTTATCTTCCTTCCTCTCTTCCTTCCCTTCCTCACTTCCCCTTTTAGTGAAGAATGAAGATCTATTTATAATTTTTTTAGAGTTGCAAGGTCAGTGAATATGGAGAAGATTAAGGACGCATTAGGAGTGTTTCGAATTGACGGTCAATATCGACTCCCTTAATCATAGACCATTTATCGAGTATTTAAGTGTCATAATGATGTCAAAATTTGATGACCTTGGGTTCGTTGGAATCATCTCATCGAGCCGCTTGATTCGATTATAAGCATATCACATTTGAAAATCATTTGATCGTCAAATTTATGGTTTGAATCTTCTAAATATGCTTTGGGCCCTTGATTTAGACCAATTTGGGCTCGGATTTGGTCAAATTATGTGTCGTTGGGTTCGTATTGTCAAGACATTCAATTCAATCATAAGTTTGCTGAAATTAGAGTTCGGATGGCTTCGAAATTAATTTTAAAAGCTTTCAATGTGAATTTGCCTTGAGAATCATGCTAGATCAAGATAATTTTTTGATGATATATCAACTTCCATCTCCGACACTCTTGAAGAATGGCTTGTTCCATTTCGCATTTTTGAGCTTGTTTTACATATACATATATTATTTTTCTGCTGCTTTCTCTCTCTTCAAGAAGAAAAAAATTATTTTTTTAATGGAAATTCAAAATTTTGTTTGAAGAACCATATACACTATGGTTTCAAATTTTCTTTATTGTTGCAATTTGTTGATAAGACTAGAGAGGGAGTTGAAGGTAAACTTGAATTATGGAGGTCAACCTTAGAGTCTAAAGGTTTTCGTTTGAGTAGATCTAAAACGGAATATATGGAGTGTAATTTTAGTAGTAATAGACCTAGTGAGGGGATTGTGACTTTGGGCGATCAAGTCATTAATAAGAATACACGTTTTAGATATCTTGGATCTATTGTTCAGAGTGATGGTGAAATAGATGGGAATATTATCAGCTGAATTCAAGTTGGATGGTTGAAGTGGAGGAATGCATCGGGCTTGTTATGTGATAGAAATGTACCCCTCAAACTTAAGGGAAAATTCTATAAGATGGTAGTGAGGTCTGCAATGCTTTATGGTGCCGAATGTTGGCCTTTAAAAGAGAAGCATAATACTAAGTTAAGTGTGGCAGAGATGAGGATGCTCAGGTGGATGAGTGGCTTTACCCTTAGAGATAGGATACGAAATGAGCATATACGTGAAAAGGTTGGAGTAGCTCCAGTAGAAGATAAGATTAGAGAAAGTCGCCTTAGATGGTTTGGTCACATAAAACGGCGGCCTTGTGATGACCCGGTTAGGAGAGTAGAGGTATTAGATTTGACTTATGTTAAGAAAGGTAGGGGTAGACCTAAAAAGACTTGGTTATAAAATATTATGAATGACCTTTCTTTATTAGATTTAAACAAGAATTTGACTTTTAATATGACACAATGGAGAAAAAGGATTCATGTAGCCGACCCCACGTAGTGGGATAAAGGCTTGATGTTGTTGTTATTGTTGTTGTTGCAATTTCTAAAAGGTGAATCCAATATTTGGGTTCTCTTTTCAGCGGCAAATCTAGTTATTTATTAAATGTATGAATTTCCTTATGATTCTATGACATGATTTGAGAACTTCATTTTTACAGAGGTTTTCATTTGATTTTTTTTTTATAATGTTTATTTAAGTGTTGCAGTTCACTTTTCTTGTCTGTCTTATTTGCCTTGGATAAACATTGTGTTGAAATGCTTTATTTGATGTAATGACTAAAGGAGATTGAATGCAATAGTTAAATTTGATAATCATGCATCAAATTCTATTTTGATTTGCGTTTATATTTAGGGTTTATAATAACTTATTATTTATTTTTTAAATTGATTTGTTATCTATCATTTCACTACTGTTACTCCCATTGATGCCTAGTTAACATGTTCTGGCTAGACACTTAAAAAAGTATGCATTCTTATTTTATTTTTTTAATATTAATTTATTTATATGATAAAGTTGATCCACTCTTAAAACTGAAGTTGATTCCTCCCCTGGTAGTCAATAACCTTCCAATATGAAGATCACAGCTTCCTAAAATTTAGGGCCAATTGCTTCGATGGACATGTTAATGGTTCTACACCCTGTCCAATAAAACACCTCGCCAATGAAACGACTATTTCTTACTCTCCATCATCACTATAATAAGTGGATGCTTGTAAATCAAAATCTTGCAGCCACATTGTACTATATCATCTCGCCTTCCATTCAATCTTATAATCTTAATCTTGAAACATGCACTGGCATCTAGACAATCATATATCAACATATACAATATAAGAATTAACCTCGCATCATACAACTTAAGAATAAACTACACATCGTAATGAAAGATCAATCTATTCATAATATCTTTATAAAATCAAGGCCAACAATGCGAATTTGCTAGCTGTCGTCGGATTCTCTTTGGATCAAAAATATATTATCCTCCATATCCTTAATGTTCTTCCTCCGGCCTATCAAACCTTCAAGACCGCAACATGCATAGATCTTCAACCCATCACCCTAGATGAATTGTATTCACTTTTTATGTAGTGATAAAATGAATCTTACTAATGAGACATCATTAGAACTTCAATCCATTCAACCGTATGATCATCACAAAATACTTGCCACTTCTTGGGGCAAAGGGCGCGACCAGCTATCTTATACTAGCTCTCTTAGTCCCTAAAAATCACAACAAGGTCGCCTATCTTCCATATCCTCCAGGGGAGGTAAATTTCATTCTCCGACTATTGAGTGTCAGATTTGTGGCAAATTCGACCATTCATCATCAAATTCTCTCTTTTGAGTGTCAAATTTGTTGCAAACTCAACCACTCAGTCGTCAAATGCTAGCAGCGAAGCAACCTCAACTATCACACGGCCTCTCTAGGCCCAGGCTCCTTTCACCAATCAAAAATCTGAATATGTCAATTGGCCGCTCGACATTGGTGCCACCTCCCATTTAACGTTTGATTCGATGAAGCCATACAACTCCAAGCCACACCACAGAGAGTATCAAATAATCATCAATGCCAAACTCTGCTAATATCTCACACAAGCCAAGGATTTTTGCCAACACCAAATAGTTAAGTTCTTACTCCATACAGCATTTACATATCATTCACAACCTCTCCTATAATCTCATTTTAGTCAATAAAAACTAGTCTTTGATAATTCATGCAACATAATGAACATATATTTATATTTATGATATTTTCTTCTAAAATAATAGATAAAACATTTTAATTCTACATATTAAGGGTTATATGCATTTAAATACTATTAAATAGATAATATAAACTAAAATTTTTAATTCTAAATAAATGAAATAAAAAATGGAAAATCATTTAGCTATTTATTAATTATATATATGAAGCAATAAATCTCTTTCTAATAAAATAATATTATGGTAGATAGATTTAGAAATTATCTAGGAGTTAAAATTGTATTAGTAGAAGGGAAATAATTTATAGTATGAATTAAAAATAAAGTTATATATTATAATTTAAAATGAAAGAATATAATTCTAATTTCTAACTGAAGGGTTCGAAAATTATTTTCAAGTAAACATAGAAATTAGTTGAAAGAGAAAAATCACTTGTTTATATTATGAAATTAAAAAAAAAACTAATAAATAACAAAAGAACACCAATCATCTATCAATAATGATCGTATGATCAATTCTAAGGATTATAAAATAATAGTAGTTTATTTTGAAATCAGAATAGAAATCTTCTTTATTCTTTTCTAAAGCAAATGCCACTTTTCCTGTTTGATCATTTCCCTTAAAGATTTAGGAACTATGACTTTTTGTGGAGTATGCTAGAGAGGACCTCAATGGATTTTTAGTAATATGAAAGTATAGATTGGGATCATCAAAGGTTGATGGATGGGAAGGATTATAAAAGCATGATGAATCGTTAAGTGAAATAGGGAGGAAAAACGAAGGATTTGGAGGAATTGTGGGCTCAACAAGCATGGGCGAATCCCCTTGATGTCATTTGCACACCCTAAGAAAAAATAACGTACTAGTGGGGGCATTTTTTATATTTTACCCCCCCCCCCCAAAAAAAAAGAACATTTTTGCCCTAATATTATCATCCTAAATGTCGTTGCTCATCCCGCAAGTTCGCACTCAGCAGCTTTCACGATTCGAGCATTCGATGTTCAAGACATCGCCGCCTCTCGCAGCTGTCTTCTTCCCAATCATATTTGGCATTCCCAAAATGTAATTGGAAGATAAATGATAAAAATTTCCTCTTATAAATTTGATAGCATTATGTTGGTTAAATTTAAAAAAATATATATTTTGTTATTATTACTATTTGATGTTATTATTTTATTATTTAAAAAAATTATTTTGTTTTATTATTATTATTATTGTCGTCTAATTAATTAAAATTTTATCCACTCTAAAAAAAAAGAAGCCGGATTTGTCCATGTCAACAAGAAAAGAAAGTTTAAATTGGGGAGCATAATAACTGAATAATTCATATTTTATGCACTTGCCAAGAAAAAAGAGGGAAAAGCATGAGAGTTTGGTGCACGTTGAATACACTAAAGCTTCATTTGAAAAAGAAAAAAATAGTAAGAAAGTTATCCCAAACGAGGCCCGAATCAAATAAACCTTGTATTATGGTTGCAGTAGAATATTTTAAGGATAAACTAACATATGCAAAGCCATGATGTGAACAATTGATTTTATAATCTATGAAAGAACTAGCAATAAGAAGACGATAGAATTTATTAATAATACAGAAGAACAGTATACAAATCAATCAAGTTAGTGTGGTAAAGGGTAAAGTAAATGAATCCCTCAAAAACAAATCAAAAGGCTGAACCACAAGTAACTGATAAGGACCCAAAGAAAGCGAAGCAAAGGAAAACATACCTCATAGTCCCGCAATAATTGAGCGCCCGATCAAAGTAGTTATATACATTGGATCCGTTTGAACAGCTTTTTCACAGATCTTCCAAACAACTGCTACCTACAATTTTTTATTATTTTTACATCAGATTCATTAGCGAGTAATGGATGAAGAGAAAATTGTTATCCCATAGAAATAATAATAATACCCTCATATTTAAAATATTGTTTTGTTCACAACAGATCTATAACTACTTTTAGAAATAATTATAGCCACCAAGACAAACCTTCTTTGTCTTACCCTTTCTGCTCTGATCAAGTAGTGTGAGCGCCAACAGTGCCCTAACATCTTTTCCTTCGCGGTCTACCACAATCCATGTATAACAAAATGATCCCTCCTTTTGCCTCAGAAACGTATCCCATCTTCTGCCCTATAACCCAACTACACTATACCCAGGCACTTTGTGAATACCTTGTTGTACAATTCTCATTCTCATATTCGCTGAGTCTTCCCATCTCCCATCTTCGGCATAACTATTTGATAAAAGCACCAAGGCACCATCATTGCCTTGCAGTAGTTGAAGCTGCTCTGAAGCTTGCCTAGCTATTTCTTTCTCTCCATGACTTTGACAGCCACTCAACAAAGACCTCCAAATTGCAGGCCATGGTTCATAAGGCATGCTTTCAAGTACTTGTTTAGCCTTTTCAAGAAACCCATTCCGGGCTAGAAGATCAACCAAGCAGCCAAAATTATCCTTAGATGGTAGCATGCCATACGTAGAGCTTATGGAATCAAAGACATACTGCCCTTCCTCCACCAAACCAAGATGCCTACAAGCTGAAAGAACTGCAACGAAAGTAGCCTGAGTTGGAAGCACATTAGCACGTCTCATTTTTTCTAGAATTTGAATAGCTTCACTGATCATTCCATGGTGTCCAAGAGCTGTAATCATGGTGTTGAAGGTGACGGCATCATTATATTCTAAAACACAATCAAAACACGTCCATGAGCTACTGATATCTCCACACTTAGCGTAGGCATCAATAGCTGCACTAGCCACATGCAAATGCATCTCATATCCTGTCTTAATCACAAAAGAATGGATGCACCTGCACTGATTAAGCACACCATTACCAGCACAAGAATTCAAAATGCTCCCAAAAATGAACTCATCAGGATTCTCACCTACTTTTCTCAGGGAATTGAGAAGTGAGAAAGCCTCATAGTTAAAGCGCTGCCTTGCAAATGCTGAAATCATCACTCCCCAACATGCCAGATCTAGATCCTCAACACCTTGGAAGACCTTATAGGAGTTTCCCAGAGAACCAAGTCGTTCATAAGTGCTGATTAGTGACGCACATATATGTCTAAAGGAATTAAAACCAGATTTGATGATTTTGGCATGTATCTGCTCACCTATTTTATGTTGTTGGGTTCCATGGCAAGCACTCAAAACACTAGTGTATGTGAACTCATCTGATCTAAAGCCACATTTGATCAGGCTGTGGAACATAAACAATGCCTCTGTAAAATAGCCATTCATGTTACACCCTGCTATCATCTCATTGTAAGTAATTGTGCTTTCGTTTCCATGGCTGCTGAACAAGAAAAATGCTTTGTCCATTAATCCGCATTTAGAGAACATACTGATGAGCGCATTAGTCACAAGAGCATGATTGAAGAGTCCAAGATGGTAAGCAAAGCAGCAAAACTGAAGCCCAAAATGAATATTCTCTCTCATACCACAAAGTCTGAATATAGAAGACAAAGTTACTTGATTTGGTTTCAGACCACAGTACAACATACTGGAAAAATAGGCCACCACTTCCTTCTCATCCTCAGCTTGAGCAAAACCACAAACTACAGTATTCCATGAGACAATATCCTTCTCATGTATTCTATTAAAGACTAGCATCGCACGGTCTTTCATTTCATACCTGAAATACATATCCATGAGCGAATTCATCACTGAAGTGCTGGATTCTAACTCATGGTAGATGATAAAGCTGTGAATCTGCCCTCCAAATTTTACATTACCAGAAATTGTGCAGGCCTTAAGACCACTTACAAAGGTAAATTTATCTGCAGGAAGATCTTTGGAGTGAATAAGACATACTATTTTCATTGCATAATGACCATAGCCACTAAATGCATAGCTCTCAGCCATAGCATTCCAACAAGCCAAGTCTTGATGGTCTATACAGCCAAATACCAACTCTGCAGCTTCAATATCACTACATTTGGCATACATACAAAGAAGTGAACTACTTACAAAGGAGTTCCTCTCACAACACATCTTGAAAGCAACCGCATGAAAGGACTTCCCAAGCTTAATGTCCTCAAGCGCACAGCACGCACTCAAGGCACTGGCAAGTGTGAATTCATTGGGATAAAACCTAGACCTCATCATCTCCAAATATATTGCCAAGCCCATCTCAAGCTCATCACTGCGAATGCAACTGGAGATCATGGAGGTCCAGGACACTAAATTTCTCTGAGGCATTTCATAGAACAGGTTGAGCGCATAATTCAAAAGTTGACATCTTGAATACATCCAAACCAAATTATTGTTAGTAAAAATGTCATTTGAGAAGCCAAGCTTGATGATTTGGGCATGGGTTGCACAGCCAATGATAGGGTTGTTAGTGTTAGAGGATAAGGTGAGAGCAGAGGCGAAATCAAGAGGTTGTATAGTGCCGTAGCTGCTGGAGACGTGGAGAGGAATGCCGGTTTCGTGATCGGTAGAGCTCAAAGAAGAGAAATTTGTCGTTTTCTTTGGGATGGGTGCAAAGCATATGAGAAGAGAACTTGGAAATAATTTGATTGCCTGCATAGCTTGCGGCCAACGAACTAAGTTGTGAGACCTCATTATGAATGCCCATTTCGCGTCTTCCTAATGGCTCGCGCAGCAAGATTCCTGGACCGTTGCTCAACGGCACTGCCTGCTGCGGTGGTCACGAAGAGTCTTTTTTCCAACCAAATCACAGTCAGAGAAAACCAGTCTGCCCCGCTTCACCGGTGAAAGAAATCCAAAAAAACCACCAAACCCGTTAGCACCGATCATACTTAACCGCGAGTCGGAGATCCCAATAATTCGCTAGGCGGTATTTGGAGGGAGGGAGGACGGGCGGCCAGAGACGCGACCCGCGGAAAAAGTCCGACCACAATGCCAAATAAAATAAAATTAAATTAAAACATGAGGGTGCATAAATTAACGTAAAATAGTAAAATATCCTCCTTTGCTTAGTTTGGTTGGTGGGCGAGTACTTGGAAACCTCCAACCTGTGCTCGAATCCCCTCGGGCGACAGCGCCTCTTAAGTGGTGCCCAATCAAGTACAGGTCATGAGTTTTATGGAGTAGGTGTCTCTTCTAGGTCAGTCGAGGATTAGTCACGCCGTCAAATGTCCTTACGGGGGTGTCAGCGGGTGGATATCCCATTTCAAAAAAAAAAAAAAACCTAAAATATTAACTATCTTATTGGAAAGTAATTCAATTTTCTATTTTGAGAATTTGAGATTTTGACTCGTGAGCTTTTAATATAAAAGGATATATTATTACATGTGAATATCGTATGCGTTTGGAGGTTAATGTAGACGCTCCACATCGTCCAATGCACTGTGTATTGAATGACGTGAAGTGTCCGAATTTGACTCCGAACGCATTCAGTGTCCGCATGTAATAATTTTTTCAATAAAAAGCTTATCATGAAAAGAATGATTGCTACCCCATTGTGTTTGGAAGTGAGAATGCCGATTTTAGGATATTTAAATTTTCTTATTATTAATTGAGTTTTGGTGAATTTGTCATTGAAAAGAAGATGAGGGATATGATCACAAGCATAAGTGTTATCAGTCATTATCTAAATAATAATAATTTTATGAATGTAGATCTTAAGAACTCATTTATTGAGTGTGTTATTAAAGAAGATTTGTGAAAGTTAGTTCGCTAATTTATTATTGATGAGCTATTTCCCAATCATAAGTTCAGTAATATTATATTTATTTAGGTCTTAAAACTGAATGAATAATAAGAAGTTTTTGTTCAGTACTCAAAAAATATTATCACAACTCAACGAGAACATGATATGTATTGAGAGGATGTCTTGAAGATTGAGATATTTACCCCACCAGGCCTAGGTAGGTTGGTGGGCGTGCTTGGTTAAAAAACCTCCCATCCCAAGTTCGAATACCCTCTCATACGGCATGACTCCTTGAGTGGAAAGAAAAGAATTGTGAGTCATGCACCTGTGGGTCTAATGAACTCCTCAGCCTCGGTACCACCCAAAATCTCCATCACCTCATCCAAATCAGATGAGTCATTCATAAGTAAATCCCGATCCTCCGGTTCATGGCCTCCTGCATTTTTGGGAAAAGAAAAGAAGTTTCCAGATTTTATTGGAATTTTTAGAATTTTTTAGAATTTTTATGGATCTTTTCGTATTTTTTATGGATTTTTTTTTTTTTAATCGGACATTTTTGGGGTCCTCGTGACTGTTTTTCGACGTTCCGGACTCAATTTCGACAATTTTAAAGCTATTTGAGGCTCTCACATGTAAGATTGGATTTCGAATCACATGAAAAATTCTTCAAAGTTTGTTACGCATATTTTCAAACTCCTGGAGCTTCGACGCCCGAAAATAGGGGGCCAACAAATGTATCATCAATTAATTATCTTGATCATGCAAGAATCTCGAGGCAAAATCGAGCCGGTATCTTCAAAAATGGAATACGGGATCACATGAACTTTGATTTCAGCGAACTTACAATCAAATTGAGCGTCTTGAAAATACGAACTCAACGACACCAAATTCGACTCAATCCGAGCCCAAATAAGTCCAAATCAAGCACTCGAAGCGCTGTTTGAAAGTTCAAATCATAATTTGAGTTACCAACCAGTTTCTAATATATGACATTCTTATAGTAGAATCGAGCGGCACGACGAGACGAATCCAATGAGCCAAAGATCGATGAATTCTGACACCATTAAGACCTTCAAATGTCTAACGAATTGTGCAGGATCAAGGGATTCAATATCGGTCGTCCGTCCGATCACTCCCTATTTACCCCTGATCTCTCACATATTTACAAACTATGCCACTCAATAATATCTATAAATATTTCTCATGAGAGGGGACCCAAGCAAGAGGAAGAAGAGAAGAATGAGAAGAGAAGAAGGTTAGGAGGGAAGAAACTCCTCATCGACGATCGCCGCCGGAATTCTGCCCGAGCGACGCTGGAATTTTGCCCGAAGGCCGTCATTCTGCCCGATTTTGGAACGACTTCGGAATTCTGCCTGAACGCAGCCAGAATTATGCCCAACTTTCAAATGACGTCAGAATTCTGCTTGATCTCCAAGTGACGCCGAAACTTTGCCTGATGTTGTAACTGATTTTCAATCCAGAAGTGATTCATTGTAATCTGATCGTCCTAAATTTTAAGGATGAGTTGGCCTCTTGTATTTCAAGCAAACACTAGTTGAACTCTTTCAACTAGGCGTGGCCCCGTGGTTTTTCCCCTTTCAGGATTTTCCACGTAAAAATCCTGGTGTTATCATTTCTCCTATGTTTGTGTGTTAGATATCCGTACAACGCTGAGACGGAAATTTTCTAACTCTATCGCCGCATATATTCTAGTCCGCAACAATATTAATATATTATCACGTTCTAAGAAATGACACCCTTTATATTCTTGACTCATAATTGTGCTAATTTTCAATTCAACCATATCTCATAATTTTTTACATTTATGAAATTTCCATATAAAAAATTGTCTCATACGTGTTGCTTTTAACTTATTTGCACTTGTACAAAGTTTTCTCATGATCCAAAGACATCTAATGCCATAAATATTTTAGCACATATGCAATCATATGAGATTTTTTAAAGATCCTAATAGTTATAACAAATTTAAAGTTGAATCTACCAAATGAACCCAGAGTAATTCTCCAAATTAAAATCACAAATTTTAACTCAAATGAGCCCCTAAATAAAATTTATATGGAATCAATTTCAATTTTGTAGTATCATTAGAGTTTTATAACTGATTAAAACCTTAATTAATCCTATTACTCTTAGGTATTAACATTTGGTATGTTGACCAATTTCCAAAAAACTCAAACTAACACTTATATTGAAAATAAATCACATGGAAGCATCTAAAAAATAATTACCCTTTAAATTAGTATTTATGAGACAACATATGAAAGTTTTATAATCCAATATTTTCAGGATATTTTTATAATAATAATAATAATAATAATCATCATCATCATCATCATTAGTTTTTTAGTTATTATTTCTATTTATTTAAAAAAAATCAAGGCATTTTTAAAATACTAATTAGTTTTTATTTATAATATTAAAAAAATTTCTTTTGTCAGCAATCAACACTATCATTATTAGCTACCACTGATTGCCAATGATAACCACTATCACGATTATTATCTTATTTGTTTCTTCACTACTCCATTAGTTATCCCTACCACCATAATAAAAACAAAAAATAATTTAATTTGAGTTATCAAATACATTTTATTTAATATCAAAATATTATAAAAATATAATTAACTCACTTGACTCATATGTAATTAAGCACTGTGAAAAGAAGTTAAAAAATTTTAAAATATAATAATTTAAAAATTAGTAAGCATATACTTCAAATAATTAGATTTATTATGAAATAAGCAAATGTAGATGCGTTATGTGTTTACTAAAATCAAAATAAAATTTATATTCTTAAGACTTATCAAGATCATAATTTAATGAGGATAGGGCGATATGCTAAATAATTTTTTTTTTTCTTAAGTTTATCCTGCACCTCTTGATTGGAGAATCTCGTCAAGATTAGTGCTGTCACGCGGTAATTTTAACCATCAGCCGACTATGTTGTTTTTATTATAATTTTTTTATTTTTTATTTTTTATTTTTAAGATTTGAAGGATTCCGCCGACTGCTTTAATTGTTCCTCTTCCAAGCTTCTATCTCGCGTCTGCGCTTTCCAGAGGCAGAGAAAGAATCAGAGAGAAGTGAAGGTGGAGAGAGAGAGAGGGGAAAAGAAGATGAAAGGCCTTGAGAGCCTAGGCAGGACGGTGAAATCGCCACTTCTTATAAAGACAGCCTCGATCCTTCTTGGCTGCATCGCCGCCTTCTTACTCGGCAAGCATTGGTCGGACGAATCCCAGAAGCTCATCTTCTTCACCCGCAGCACTGGGGCCAGCGAAGGCGAACGCGGGCACTACGTAGCCATATCTCCTAACGCAAACCGCACATTTGACATATCCACACTCATATCCAATGTCTCTACTTTCCCGCCGCCTCCGCCGTCCCCGCCTCCTTTGCAATATCCGCCTCCCCCAGCGTCCTTGCCGCCGCCCCCACCGCCGGAGAAGTTTGGGGTTGTGAACGAGAACGGGGAGATGAATGATAGATTTGATACGGGGGTGTTCGATCCCGATCTTGGTAAGAATTTGAGTATGGGGAACGAGACGGAAGAGGCGAGTGGCGTAAACCAGGGCACGGGTAGGGTTATTAGGGTTAAGAAGTTCCAGTCCTGTCCTGCAACCATGAGAGAGTACATTCCTTGCTTGGATAACTGGGAGGCCATCGATAAGCTCAATTCAACGGATAGAGGGGAGAAGTTCGAGCGCCATTGCCCTGAGGTGGGGAAGGGATTGAATTGCTTGGTTCCGGCTCCAAATAACTACAAGACTCGGATTCCTTGGCCGAAGAGCCGAGACGAGGTTGGTTGAATCAAACTTAAACTTTCATTAATGATTCTTAAATAAAAAGAAGCATTCTTTTATTCGTTCCTACATTTGCAAGACATGAGCACTTTAAGTTGTGCCAAGGATTGATTAAGGGGATATATTTCTCATGACATGGATGTGCTTAATAAATTTAGGTCTCAGCTTCCGAAGTACACCTGTCAAATGTACGGTAAAGTTCTTTGGAGATTCTTCAGCACAGGTGTAATAGGGTAGCGTGAAACCCGCACGTCCATGTTTTTCTCAATTTCAGCTATCATTTGGGTTGTTTTTTTTTTCTTACCCATTGAGATGTATTTGATTTACAATACGCTCTTGTTGCGGTTCAGAACCACTATCATGCGCCGGTGGAGTAAGATTAGCACACTTCAAACCTCTCAAGCTGTTCTTATGTACACATAGCACATTGATAGCGTCTAGTCTGGAGTTGAGCTCTCCATGGGAGGCTTCTAATGCTTTAAGTTCATGAGTTAATATTAAGGGGTGAAGCTGTTCTGATAACTTAGGCTTCGTTTGGGACTGGTTTCTTACTGCTTCTTAAAGCGGATTTCTAATTAAATAATTAAATAAAAAATTTAATTAGAAAGTCGCTTTAAGAAGCAGTAATAAAGCCGTCCCAAACGAAGCCTTAGTTTGATTATAAGATTTTTTGTCTAAGCTATCAGACTTATAGACTCTCCTATGCTTTTGATTTTGTTGTGTGAGCTACAAAAGAGAGAAATATTAAACTTAATGGTAAATGATTGAAGTTGAATTAGGGGTTTTATATTTTTATATATAGTGTCATAGGGCATCCTGACATTTAGGAATGTGGTTAATGAAGTAAATTGCCATGATATTATGGTAGGTTATATTCGGGATTTATGTGATTTTGATATGATAAACAACATGCGTCTTCAGGTTGTAGGTTGTATGGTGATCAATCCAAAACCGTCAGTATGAACTGATGTCATCATCAATGACAAGCTGTCGGAGTTGAATAAATCATTTTTTTATTGGCAGAGAAAATGTGAGGATGTGAGTCGCTAGATGTAGGTTTGACAACTACCTTTGACGTTGCTCTAGCACTATGCAGTGGAATGAGGGAGCTTGAGTGTGTAGCTTGGGTGTCCGTAAGGCAATGGTGCAAATACCCTAATTTAGAAAACCTTAGGTGTCTGTAACCTTAGTGCATGGCATTGCCGCATTGGGTGACTGCAATTTCCCTTTGTGGGGGGTACAATGATGTGTAGTGGTGTAAATTTGTTTTATTGGTTAGAGTTTAGCTTCAACTTGAAAATGACACGATCTAAATGGAGCTAACCCAAATCCCAACTATTTAGTAAAAAAGTAGAATTTCTCAACTAAAATTTGACTTGCCTAAACCAAACTCAACCTGACTCAACACAAAAACATTTGACTGTGCTACGTTAGTGTCAACTTGATACAAATGTGACACCATGAATCGATTTGTGTACTAAAACTTGAAAATAATAAAAATTCCTATGAAATATGAGTTTTCAATTGAAAAATTGCTATGAAATATGAGTTTTTAATTGAAAATCATTAAAAAAAGAAATGATCAAATGGGGGTTAAGTTTTTGTTTCTTGGGTTGACTTGAACTCAACCTTTTTTTTATGGGTCATTTATTGCTAACCCAAATTTAATTCAAATCTTACGTGGGTTGATTTAGGTGTTTCAATTTAGATTAATAAGTTGGTTTTGGCTCTAACCCCTAAAACGACCCACTTATTAAACATGTTGAAGATTTTAACCCAAATTAGAATTATTTAAACCCAAACCTAACAGGATCAAGCCCTAACTCATCCCAATATGACACTAAAAACAATTAGGTCAAGTTGGGTTAGTGTCAACCCAACCTGAAATGGACATGAGCACTATATTGGGCACAACTAACTAAATATAACGACAACAATAACATCAAGCCTTTATCCCACTACGTGGGGTCGGCTACATGAGTTATTTTTCTCCATTGTGTCCTGTTAAGAGTCAAATTATCATTTAAATGTAATAAAGAAAGGCAACTTCTAATATTTACTAACCAAGTCTTTTTAGGTCCACCTCTACCTTTCTTAACATAGGCCAAATCTAATACTTCTACTCTCCTAACAGGGTCATCGGAAGGCCAACGACGTTTTACATGACCAAACCATCTAAGGCGATTCTCTCTAATCTTATCTGGCACTAGAACTACCCTAAGCTTTTCCTGGATATGAGTTATAATGAAAAAAAAGTTGAATAAAATGGATTAAGCCATTATTTTTGGGTTGACCTTAACTCAAACTCGACATGTTTTGAACATGCCCCAATTTTTTGGGGTCACTTAAGCTGATTTTAATTTAACCTGACTCTTGCGTGAGTTGACCCAGATTTACAATCATCGTGTCGGGTTTGAATCAAATATAATTATTGGGTTCAAACTTTACACCCCTAAGAATGAGGTACCTTCATTGGTGGGTGGGTGCTAGAACGACGAGGGGCCCTCTAGGAAGCACGATATCTTCATTACTAGACTTAAAAGGCCATTGCATGGCATACTCTCATTATCCCTTCACAATGGTCAATTGTTGGCAAGCAACCTACGTCATCATGTTGGCATAGTGGATGGGTGAGGCCACCCTAGTACCAAAGAGTTTAGGTGGTATGGTACTGAAGGGTGCTGTTATCGGGCTATTTAATCATACCATTGCTTGGGCTTTTGTCCTAATTGTAGGAGAAGGTTGTGCATGTGCTTGGGTCAAATTGGGCTTAGTTTGCCTAGATAATTTGACCATTTTCTTGTTGATATTGTATGGTTGGTCTTAAACTCTTAATATTTGTTTAATTGTGACCTTTGAAAAAATCTTTATTGTAGGAGGAGAATATACACGTGCTTGGGTCGAATATGGATCTATTAGTCAACTCACCAATTGTGGCAAGCCAACCAACATGCTTAAAAAGGGAAGTTGGCGGCCTGACTTATATCAACCAAGCTCAGCTATAGATCACAAAGTTGAATTTAAGCTTCATTTTTGTGGCTAATGCGAACTCTTTTTGATTTGGATGTTTTCTTGAATATATAATAATAATCATACTCGCTTTTAAACTTTTATTGTAATTATGTTAGCATTTCAATTGACTTTATTTAATTATATAAATGACATAAATTGAATAATTTAGAAAGTTTGTTAACTCAACATATAATGCCTTTTTGGAAGTTATAGAGCATTATGACATGCCTAATATATGAATTGCTTTTAATTAGGCTTATCAAATTGTAAATTTAACTTTTCTTTGTCCTCATTGATCCGCCATAGTTCAATTCATGCTACTTTTATTGTCATGATTGCCCACTAAAATTTTCTCTTAAGTTTGAGGGGAATTTTTCTATCACACAATAGGCCCGATGCATTCCTCCTCTTTAACCATACCACTTGAATTCTACTAATAATATCACCATCTATTTCACCATCACTTTGGACAATAGACCTGATTATCTAAAACGTGTACTCTTATTAATAACTTGATCCATCAAAGTCACAATCCCCCCATTTGATCTATTACTACTGAAATTATACTCAATGTATTCGATTTTAGATCTACTCAAATGAAAATATTTAGACTCTTAAGTTGACCTCCTTAATTCAAATTTACCTTCAACTCCATCTCTAATCTTATCAACAAGAAGAATATCATTAGCGATAAGCATATACAGAGTACATCCTTTGCAAATGTCTAGTAAGAACATCCATGACTAAAGCAAAAGGATGTGAGCTTAAAGCTGATCCTCGATGTAATCCAACTGAAATAGGTAAATACTTGGTCCAACCTCCTTGTGTTTGATTATATTCAAAGTTTAAAATTCAAATTCAAAATAGCTTTTTGTATTTTCAACTATCTTAGATTTTGAGTTTGCATCAGAAGGCCTTGAGAGGCTTAAGCAAGTGAGAATGATGATTCAACATGGTTTTTAACGTGGGAAATGCTGGTGGTGGATAGGATTAAAGTTATCTTTGAAGGATCTTGATAGGAAATACTTGAGTTCGCAAGTAACCTAACCAAAATCGGCGAACAAACAGCAGCCAAATGGCTGTCCACAGCAGGAAACAGAAAAACAGCACTTGTCCGGAGAAATCTGAGAGAACTCAAAGAAAAGCTTGTATTTCACTAGGAGAAGAAGAAAACAACAAAGATACAAGTGATCCTCAATTCGAGAGGAGGATCGATCTCTCCCAAATCTCTAGACGCCGCTAGAGCCCAAAGAAAATCTAAATCTAAGAGATCTCAAATTTCAGCCAAATTCAAGATACTCAAACCCTAGCCAAATCAACTATTTAATGCATACAAATCAAAAGGAATTCCCTAAACAGTCCCTACGTTCAAATTCCCTCCTAAAATCCATTCAAAAACCTTCCTAAAACAGTCCCGCAAGATGAGCGGCTCGCGCGGCATCCCGCACAGGCGGAGTTCTCTCCGCTGTTTCGCGAATTCCACCCGTGAACCGGTCCCGCCTGGACCGGCTGGACTGGTCCATTGGACCG